CAAAAGGAAACCTTAACATTTCCTTGGGTCTGCCCGGCCTTTTAAAACACAGTGAAGGGGACTAGGGTGCGGACTGCTCAGCCGGCCCTGCCACATGTCTCTGCAGTCTAGAGGAGCTGCCCCATGCTGCGAAAAATCTGCAATTTTTTTTAAGCAAGCTGAACACTTTGATATCTGATTTCAGGGACGCAAACTAGACCAGGAAGGAAGTAGGCTGCCGAAGCAGCTCTGCTATAAGAATGCAGCAGAAGGAGGAAGTATTTAAAAAGCTATCAAGATGAGTGTTTAATAACACACACACAGACCACTTTTTTTAAAAAGTCTTTATTTATCACTACCTAGAACATTTTATTACAAATATCAAAGTCTCCTTTGAACGGCAATTTACACCAAAATCCATGACAACCATTGTCCTCGGAATATTCTACTGGTTTGGGAGATACCCTTGCCTGGAAGGCACAGCGCAGGACAGAACAGCGCAGCACTGCATTAAGTCACGGGAGCTGCCTGGTCCATTCCGCAAACAAAGCAGGTGCTGGGGAATGAGGGGGCCCTTCCATTTCAAAGAGGCTGGAACACACCCGGGAGTCTGTGTCAGGCAGGGCTGGCCTGTTGGCCTGGCTTCCCTTTCCTCCTCTCCTGTCTCCTCCACTTCAGCTACACTGCACTTACATGCTTTCCTAAAAGCAGTGAAAATGAATCCTGGGAAAATGGGCCTTCACTGCGTTCATGTGACAAACTAATCAATTCCAGTTAACCAGAGATGAAGAGATTGCGCAAGGATGCATATGGCAGGGCCACCTACTGCACGTCTAAATAGATGCCAGTTGGCTGCAAACTGTTTAGGGAGCAACACAACATGATTATGGACATGAAGAACACTTTCCACTTTCCAGAAAGCATTTCCCTGTGAGAAAGGGGAGGACTGTCCTCAAAGAGGACGAAGGAGGTTGGAACTGTGCTTAGATTTTTACTAAAAAATAACTGATGCCGAAAAAACCCCAAAAGAGTGCCCTTCACTAGGGCCCCAGTGCAGGAGCAAGGCTTCTTTGGGAACACGGGCCCCTGCATTGCTCAACCTCTCAAACAGAAGCCAAGTCCAACCCCCACCAAGACCTACACTGTCCATGCAGTGACAGGGACAGAAACCCCTGCTCACACCTCAGCCCACCTGTGCCTTCTCCTACACACAAGCCTGGCATTCCTGGGCTTGGGTGATGGGCACGCTGCTCACTGCACTGTGGGATCTTAAGTTTTCTCTCCCAGTGGGGCTGGCTTTTCCTAGTTCTTGCTGGACTCTCTACAGGGTGACAAATTGTCCCACTTTTGCCCAGAACTGTCCTATTTTGCCCCTCATTGTCCCATGATGAGGGGGTTCCAACGTTTTGGTTTATATGAGTTGGTCACCCTTAATCTCTATAGTGTTTCAGAAGACACCGACTCTTGTCCACAGTTTTACTAAATTGCAAGAACAAGAGATAAGCCGAGAACAGCCACGTGTGAGACCTACACGGTCTTTCCCCCTTGATGCAAATCTCTTCAGCACAAGTGCCTGAACCCTTTTACAGAACCTTCCATTGAGAACTAGATTCTAGTCTGCTAATCCCACTTCATCAAATCAAGGAATGAGGCAGCCACGCCATTTCAAAGTCCCAATACAGCGGTGAGGATTCTTCACCCTGATTATTTTATAATTAGGTTTACTCACTGGCACACACCTAGATCCCTCAAAATTAAAAGAAGTCAATAGAGATGTGTGCAAAGGTAAAAAAGGGTGAGTGGCCCAAGCCAACAGCATTTTCCAGAAAATGTAACTCCAATGTTAAAGCGGCTTAATATTTAAAAAAGAAAGAAAGAAAGAAACAAGTTTACAACAGCAGTTGAAATCAAGCATCTACTTGGAGAATTAAGAAGACAAACACCCCTCGGACACACATAGCCTCTCTGAAGTGCTAGGTGGGGTTAAATAATCTCCAGAGGACTACGCACAGGGCCTGTGTCACAGAAGTTCCTAATTTTTTCCTAATTTTCCCCTTAGGATAATATACCCCAAAATACTTCACATCTATAAGATGTATAAATTACTGCAGTTCACAAAATACAATTTGTTGTCTGAATGTATTCAGTCTGAGTGGCTTATGAAATACCTGAATGTACTGACTACAAGGCCTCTAAGAAGAGTGAGATAAATCTGTATTTTGGAGTTAAAAGAACTCTGCATAAAAGTGGGTGCAAGATGATCCCATGAGTCTTTTTTTAAGATTTATATCTATTCACAGACAAGTGAAATGTGTTGGAAGTGTAAGTCAAACTCTTCTTGTAGACACTTGTAGGGCAGAGGATTTGGTCTAGGGACAGAATGAGAATGCACTTTATTTTTTGCCTTCCTATACTGTTTACATTTTCTGTAGTTAATATGCATTATTTTGTCATTTAAAAACTCCCTTTAAAAATTTAAAAAGAAGGAAATGACATTTCCATATTTCATTTCTTGCAAAACTGGATAAAAGTTATAACCTGTCTAATGCAAGGGATAGTTTGCTGAATGAATTAAAAAATATAGATTAGAATATGAGTGGCACATTTTTGAGAACTATCAAGTCTTTTGTTGACCCTGAAAGTAATAGCAATTATTCTGTAGTATGACAAAGATATCAGATGCCCACATCACAGTCTAAACATCTGTACTTTTCCAGGACAAACAACAAGTAAGTCAAGTTTACTTACAAAAGTGGAGATCTTAGTGATTCTATAAAAAGATGTATTTGGAAGAAGCCCAGTATTTTAAGGCCCAGTTAAACCATTGTTGGCATGAGGAAGCATATAATATACAAAATAAGCAAAAACAGCCCACTAAGTCTGCAGTTATGCAACCAGTGAAATCCTGTCATCCTTTTTCCTAACAGAGTTCATCCATTCACGAGGTGCCAGCTCCCCCTCTGTAGTGTTGTCATGGATAACTAACTGGTGGCCAAACAAAACAAAACAGGGTAAGAGGGGAAATGTCACCAAGTTTCGAAAATACATCTTGAGTACTTGGATTGGATTGTTGGTCTCATTTTCCTTCTTTAAGAAAAAAGTTTCAGTAGTAATTTCTATAGAATGAGAGACAAAAATATCTCCACCAGCCATTGCTAGATTGTAGAACAGACAAGACTGTACTACTCAAGGTCCCTAATGCTTTTTGGGTCCAGAAAATGGCAACAGAGTCTACCAGCTGGCTCCAGGGGCACCTAAGGGGAGAGAGCAAATGGGCAGCGGGGAGCAGGGCAGGGGAGCCCAGGCTGGTGGCCACAGTCAGAGGTGCTGCGGCTCCCCCTCTGTCAGCCTGTTTCCTGCCTTCAGCAAGCATTTTCTACAAGAGCAACATCCCCTACTTGCATTAGAACATTGCTGTTGTGGGCAGAGTAGCCTCAGACTTAGGTTTTACTTCCCTGAGAAATAATACAACACTTGAGTGCTTTCCTCACTTAGTGGTCAATACTGAAACATTTTCTCAGTCTTCAAGCAAGAATTTTTGCTTTTCTGCTGCACACAGTGCCATTTCAGGGGTCCTTGCCTGGGAACACATCTTTGTCTAACTTAGAGGAAAATTAGTACCTTCAAAAAAATCCCTTAAAATCAGACTGATGTAGGAGTTTATCATCAGGTTCTGAAGTACTATTTATCAATGCCAAATTCATTTAGTCATTTAACATCCAGTTGTTAGTAAGATATTGTTATATCCAAGTTAAATCAATCACGACAAAGCTCAGAAGTCTATGGGACTATATTTTTGTTTGTTGGTTGAATGGTTTTGGATTTTACAACCAAGAAGGGAGAGTTGTGTGTTCAAGATTAGACAGTGTTTTATTTAATAAGGAACATTATCAGAACTAAAATCTAACCTGAATTTTGATATCAGGGTAAAGGTTTTTACCTGTTGTTCATTATCCATGCCCCTTAATAACTCTCAAAGGTATGTAGTGATGAAGTTTTCAAATTCAAAAGTTTTAGGTATTCTAAATTCTGTTCTCTATGGAAGATTCATGTGAAATATTATCTATATAAACTTTTCTTTCTTTTATTTTTAGTGAAAATGGTGTTTACTTGCCACAGTTGAATCTACCTTAAACTGTGCTAGGGAGCGTCATGATGGTCTATCTACATAAATTCCTTGAAAGATTTAGCCGCCCCCAAGTACATACGGACCTTGATTTCTAATAATTAAAAAATTTCTAGAAATCCAGAAATAAAAGAGGGTTTGGGAAACACTGGGGCAGGACCTACAAAATATATGAGAAATGCACAGCTTCCCATTTGGGAAAAGCTTTTCCATCAAGTGAAGATCAACTAGAAACATTTTAAAAGCAATATTAAACGTGGAGAATTTTAAAGGGCAGCTTTTTGCATCAATCCTTTTCCATCCCTGTAAAATGGGGATATGACAACTTCCTTGAAAAATGGAAAAGATGGGAGAAACGAAGCCCCCGGCTAGAGGGAGCCTCCGTTTGTGAGTAGGTCTCCCTGGGGCCGAGCACAGCGTGCGTGCGGGGCTGGGCTGCACCCTCTGCATTGCTCAGTGGGCCGTGCTTCCTCCCTCACTATTTTCCCAGATGCTTGACGTTTACTTTTCATTTGAGACTTCAAGCAAACTGAGACCCTAGCCCCTGACGCACAGCAGGGAAACTCAGTCATGTGAAAGGACGTGGCGAAATACTCACATGCGCAGTGATGAGCTTCCTTTGCCTCTGAGGATCTGGAAACTCCTCCCCGAAGCACAGAGTCACCTGGAATCTTGGCAGGGGACGGCCATGGTGAGCAAATGCTTGCAGCTCTGGAGAAACCCCATAAGAAAAAAAGCCACACTCAGAAACTCTCATCACTGAATGCTCCAGGTTCAAGCAGGAAGCAAGAGCTCACTGCTGATTCAGAGACTAAAACAGGAATGCAGAGTCTTTATTTCTCTACGTGGGGTTCTTAACTTTCAGAGCCCAGATACTGGCTCCCCCTCTGTCAGCCTGTTTCCTGCCTTCAGCAAGCATTTTCTACAAGAGCAACATCCCCTACTTGCATTAGAACATTGCTGTTGTGGGCAGAGTAGCCTCAGACTTAGGTTTTACTTCCCTGAGAAATAATACAACACTTGAGTGCTTTCCTCACTTAGTGGTCAATACTGAAACATTTTCTCAGTCTTCAAGCAAGAAAGATCCACATCAATCAGACAGAGCATTTAGGGAAATGTAAACACGCGTGTTGGTCAGTTTTCACAGCTGTCACTGATGGTGGCCATCCACAGAGAGGCCTGGGAACCATCCTTCCTCGTGGAAGGAGCTCATCTCTCAATGAGATGGAGCTGAGTTTCTACACATATTCTTGCTGAGTTTCTCCTCCTATGTTGAACTGATGCCCCAAATTCCAAGTTCTTCAAACATAAAAGAGGGGGTTCAATCAGGTGTTCTTGCCAGACCAGAAATTTACAGTGAAACCAAGTCCCTCGTCTGGATGTTTTTCATTCCTGAATGGAGGAGTGGCGGATGGATCTGTGATAATCCTCAGGGCTGCTGACGTGTTCGGGTAAGTCATAGCCCCTCAGGAAATGTCCACTGTTTTGTTGAGCAAAATAATAGAGCTGCCTGGCTAGTAGAGGTTCGACCTTTAATAAGAGATTTAAAAAAGACGTTACTGAGATATGCTTCTGAACATCCTGCAGTTTGCTCATCATTAAATAATAGCTCTCAGTGTTAAGGGTACAATGAAGTCAAGTCCAAGCTAGGTGCTCTGACACATCAAAACATTTCAGATTTGGAGCCTTCTGAAGAGCTAACTTTCTGTTAGTTCTCACACCAAGCTTTAAACAGAACCCACTTAATTCTGGGTTTTAATGAAAGTGAAAGATGATACTTTTAAATCAATTGGGGATTGATACTTACATTTAAACTAAGACTAAAGCATATCAGGTGAAATGACCAAATTAAGAGTAAGTATGAGGTAATATTCAGGGCGATTTAGGCAAAGGAATTAATTTTTCTACAACTGAAGTTTGGCAGGGATGAGGGGGCTCATCCTGAACAATTTTTTATTTCTGTGTGACCTACATAATGTGTACATTTCTAAATGAAAAATAAGATAAAAAGGAATAAGACAAATCAAACACCAACAAAAACTTCAGCTGTAGGGAAAGACTAATTAATTGACTTCAAATTCATCCAGTTATTCGTGTGGATTACATTCACAAAAAAATAAACTTTCAGCTTTTCTTGAATTTACAGCACCTAAGAAAACCAACCACTTTCACCCAATCAATTGTGCTATAAAACTGATCCTTCGTTACTTTATAACACACTTCAGCACAACTCAGTTGAAATACCTGAAATAAGTTAAATCCATAAATAAGAACTCCTGGGTGCACACATGTTCATTTTTGCTTTTCTGCTGCACACAGTGCCATTTCAGGGGTCCTTGCCTGGGAACACATCTTTGTCTAACTTAGAGGAAAATTAGTACCTTCAAAAAAATCCCTTAAAATCAGACTGATGTAGGAGTTTATCATCAGGTTCTGAAGTACTATTTATCAATGCCAAATTCATTTAGTCATTTAACATCCAGTTGTTAGTAAGATATTGTTATATCCAAGTTAAATCAATCACGACAAAGCTCAGAAGTCTATGGGACTATATTTTTGTTTGTTGGTTGAATGGTTTTGGATTTTACAACCAAGAAGGGAGAGTTGTGTGTTCAAGATTAGACAGTGTTTTATTTAATAAGGAACATTATCAGAACTAAAATCTAACCTGAATTTTGATATCAGGGTAAAGGTTTTTACCTGTTGTTCATTATCCATGCCCCTTAATAACTCTCAAAGGTATGTAGTGATGAAGTTTTCAAATTCAAAAGTTTTAGGTATTCTAAATTCTGTTCTCTATGGAAGATTCATGTGAAATATTATCTATATAAACTTTTCTTTCTTTTATTTTTAGTGAAAATGGTGTTTACTTGCCACAGTTGAATCTACCTTAAACTGTGCTAGGGAGCGTCATGATGGTCTATCTACATAAATTCCTTGAAAGATTTAGCCGCCCCCAAGTACATACGGACCTTGATTTCTAATAATTAAAAAATTTCTAGAAATCCAGAAATAAAAGAGGGTTTGGGAAACACTGGGGCAGGACCTACAAAATATATGAGAAATGCACAGCTTCCCATTTGGGAAAAGCTTTTCCATCAAGTGAAGATCAACTAGAAACATTTTAAAAGCAATATTAAACGTGGAGAATTTTAAAGGGCAGCTTTTTGCATCAATCCTTTTCCATCCCTGTAAAATGGGGATATGACAACTTCCTTGAAAAATGAAAAAGATGGGAGAAACGAAGCCCCCGGCTAGAGGGAGCCTCCGTTTGTGAGTAGGTCTCCCTGGGGCCGAGCACAGCGTGCGTGCGGGGCTGGGCTGCACCCTCTGCATTGCTCAGTGGGCCGTGCTTCCTCCCTCACTATTTTCCCAGATGCTTGACGTTTACTTTTCATTTGAGACTTCAAGCAAACTGAGACCCTAGCCCCTGACGCACAGCAGGGAAACTCAATCATGTGAAAGGACGTGGCGAAATACTCACATGCGCAGTGATGAGCTTCCTTTGCCTCTGAGGATCTGGAAACTCCTCCCCGAAGCACAGAGTCACCTGGAATCTTGGCAGGGGACGGCCATGGTGAGCAAATGCTTGCAGCTCTGGAGAAACCCCATAAGAAAAAAAGCCACACTCAGAAACTCTCATCACTGAATGCTCCAGGTTCAAGCAGGAAGCAAGAGCTCACTGCTGATTCAGAGACTAAAACAGGAATGCAGAGTCTTTATTTCTCTACGTGGGGTTCTTAACTTTCAGAGCCCAGATACCAAATCGCACAGGCATGCTCCTGTGAGCGCTTTCCTTGGGCGGCTCCAGGTTCCGCTGGGTGCTTCAAGGGGAATATGCCCTGCTGATTAAGAGCCTTGCTTTGCGGCACTGGACCCATGAGGATGCAAAAGGTAGCAGAAAGGTGTGAAAAAGGAAGAAAAAGAAACGTAGCCACTTTGAGGCAAAAGAATAATTTATATGAAAGAGAAGTCTTCATTGCAAAAAAATCAGAATTTTCTGATTTTTCCCCGGATTTCTTAAAAACATCATCTCAGAACTGCTGAGCATAAGAACCAGCATCTGTGCTGCCCAAGACCTCTACGTGACCCCTGAGGCACAGAAAACATTTATGTTATCTTGGAGCCTGAGCCAGTTATTGGGCATTTGGCACTAGGCCCAAACTGTGTCTCTGAGCTGACTTGCCACCCTGGAGAAGGGTGGTGATGAAGCACCAGGGGTCCCGGCTGTGGACGCGTAAACCCCGAAGGCACCACTCGCACCCCAACGGAGCACAGCAGACCCAAGCACTGCTGGAAGGAGACCCATCCAACCCTGACATTGACCCACGTCCTGTGCTTGTATTCTCCGTGACTCTTAGGCCTCTAACTGCGCCTATTCTTTCCGCTAGAGTCAACCGTCATGTCCGCAGAAGGAACGTGCTTACACATAGCTGCTATAAGTTCTGCAGAACAGCATGCAGATGCATCTTTATCAGATATGCACCCTCGGGCTCTGCCTTTGGGGACTGTCCCTAGCAGTTTGCAAATCCTGAATGGGTAGATATCAAAGATTTCTACTGTTCTCTTCAACTGAAGAAAAATTTCTAGCTAACTCACTAGACTTCCTGCTTTTTTTTTTCTTCTAGAATTTAAATCAAACATAACTGACTTAGTCAGATAGTATAAAAGACGTTGACACCACTGAGGTCTGAGACTACCCCTAATAATCTGATCAGAACAACAAGTCGGCACAATTCTCTGAAAAGGTCATGCCTCAAATGCTCGATACTAGGAGAACATTTTGTGGAGATCCTTGATTATGCAGAACACAGACCACTACACAGCTGCAGATTTTAAGTGTGCAGGTTCCTCCTAGAACCTCAGTGAACACTTCAAGATAAGAGGTTGCACTGAGCAAAAAGCACAGTTATTGGTTCAGGGGAAGGAAAAACAAAACAAAACAGCTCTTGCTCACAGATAAATGTTAAATTCTAGGCAAGTGAATTCACAGCCTGAAGATGCTCACAGAGGGCGCACCCTGCTTCTTGCCTGTATCCACCTCCCAGTGAATGTTATGCCTCAATGTATATGTTACAGCCTCCTGAAAGCACAAGAATACTAACCTTCTTGAAACATGAGTGAGAGAAGCTCAAAGAGCAAGTGCCATTTCCCTTAGATGCCTTAATTAAAGCCTTAGTCCTGTGGCATCTTCTGAATCCAAAGAGTCCAAGATCCACAATCTCTACAGATAGGCAACCCCATGGGCTCTTTCAGACCCCACTGTAGACATGAGGTACAGACAGGGGTGCCCCTTGGCCGCTATTGGCTCTTTCTCTGGCCCCACCACGATCACCATGCTAGATCCCAGGATGAATGGGCTTCAAGTAGCATGGGCTCAGAGGGAGAGAAGAGAGTTCAGATCCACGTGCACTTCTCACTGTGGTGCTGTACCTGGCACTAGAGATTGGCTCCCCTTTTCTCTTGCCATGCCTCTGCGGGGGCATTAGTCATCTTACCACATATTTGTTTGAGGGCGCCAGAAGAGGTTTGGATGAGCCTAAGGAAATTTGGGCAACTTAAAACCCAAATGGCTGAGCAAGGGTCAATGGTCCAGAGCACGTTTTTATTTTAAATGAATTGAATCAAGAAGCACATTTGGGGCAAGGAGAGGCATGTGAAAACGCAGACACAGGGTGTCTCTGAAGGGGAACTGATAAAAGAGAAGGTTACGGGTGAAGCAGAAGAAGAATGGGTAGTTGGCTGGCAGGTGAACAGCTCTCCCTCCTAAGAGCCGCCGTCAGGACAGGTAGACCCGGATGAACACCCTGGGTGGACTTCAGCAACACGGCCCGTGAGCTCACAAAAGCCAGCCCAGGGCTAACTTAATTGTCATGAAATCAAAACTAGGAAAACAAAGTTTATGGGTCTAGAAAACATGATTTGAAACATGCATATCATGGAGATAACTGAAAGCTGTCTCATAATTTCCCCTTTGCAGAATCAGTTCAACATACTACACCTGCTGAATGCACCCAGGGCACCTGCAAAAGGACCCATCTGCTACCCAGGAATGTCAACAATATACTTCTAATCTCTACAGTTTTCCTAGAAACCTTAAAAGAGCTGAAATGTCAACAGGTATGCTTGCCAAGACCACACTACAATAAAGTGTGGGCATTGTTAGCAGGGTGACCATTGGTTGAGTGCCAGCATTTCAAGACAGCAGCCTAAAACACTGCCCCAAGGCAGCTTCCTCCTCCTCACAGCCCCACAGAGGGTAGGGCAGGCGGAGAGGAGGCAGAGGCACGTGGTGAGGAACAGAGGGGCCCACTGCCGGGCCTCTGCAGCAGTTCACAGGTGCCGGCGCCCCATCCCCACAGCTACCCAGGTGAGTTACCGGACAAGAACTGCTGCGTGTCGAAGAGCTTGCAGGTCTGGTCCCTTTCCAGCTTGTTGGGTCGGTCGCTGCACAGCGCTAGAGGCCCGTCCCAGTAGATCCTGCTCTGGCACAGTCTTTTGGCATAAAGCCCATCAGGGGCCATCCAGAGGACCACACCCCTTTCTAGGTGGCTCAGCAGCTTTTCAATGTTCTTCCTCTGGCCGTTGTCCTCCGGGTAGGGGAAGAGGACCTGGTCCAGGTTACTGGCATCATAGGTGTGGCCATGAGAGATACGGCAGCCTTCAGGGCTGGACGTGGTCAGCTCTTTCACCAGGATCTCTCGGTAGTACAGACAGATGTGGAGCCGGCAGTCTGCAAACACAGAGGCGGCAGGGTCAGCACGAAGCATCCAGGGAGGGCTGGACACCCACCAGGATGCCATGCTACTCAGAACAAGCACAACTGGTGGGACACAAGATGCTCCATAAAAGCTAGGAAGTTCTAGGCTCAAGGAAGGAAGGAGACGCTGCGCGCCCTTCTCGCCCTGCTGGAGACCCCCAGACCGTGAGGACGGTATTGCAGTCCCACAGAAACAGATTTCATGTTGTCTGACTCAGCATTTTCCAAATTTACATGACTGTGAATTTTGTTTTTTGGAGGGGGTAAGCAGACTTTTAATTAATTTTCTACAAAATATGTTTGACTTGTAGTTGAGAGCACCACTGATAAAACAATGTGTTGTTTTTTTATGATGAAAATATTTATGTCTAAAATTTTAAGTCATACCACTGAATTAAATTCATCATTAGGCATGCAATCAGTTTTGATTTTAGAGGAAGTATGCCCTAAGTATAATTTCTACTCGCAATAAGAGTATGGTGGTACTTCAGGTAAAAGAGCAAACATGTCCACATGTCAGAAACTACCCTAAAAATATCAATATGATATCATTTAGGTAAAAAAAATAATTACATATATATATATATGCACACACTGAAGTTTCCGGAAGGATAAGTATCATAACAGTAGTGATCTCTGGGTGGTGGGAATGTGATATTTTTATTTTCCATTGTTGCTTTTCTGATTTTTTAATTAGTACATACTGAATATGTACTACTTGTATAATAAAATTACTTCATGTGGAAAGAAAGGAATCAATGAGAAAACCATCCTAAGAGTAAAGTCTGCTGAAATTCCACTGAGCTGTGTGTTTAAGTTTGAAAATAACTCTAAAACTCTGCTTTCTAAAACATTAAGCAACATGAATAGATTTATGAAGTTTTGCTGATTTCAAAGTCTTCTTTTAAAATATGACCCATAGGCTGAAGGACCAAGCTAGGTGTGCAAAGGGCCCCTTCACTGAGATGCACGTGGGCCTCACGGATGAGCACAGCTCCCGTCCGTAATGCATGGGATTTACAGATGAGTGGGAATCACAGTTCTCTAGTAAATGTGCTCAAGCTTGATAATTAATCTGTTTATGTACACCAAAAACAGAGACCCACAAAACCCTCCTATTCCTCAATGGTAGGTTTTCAGACTTAACTCACATCACTGTCTCCATTTCTGCCCCCACGAGCACTGGCTGAGTGCGCACTCAGATGGTGTGCCCTGCCAGGGTGGCTGTTGGCCATTCGTGGTGACTCTCAGAGCAGGTTTCATTTCATTTAATGCCATCAGAAATCACGAGGTCGCAGTGATATAAATAGATGTTTATTTCCTACTCTTCAGGCGCCCACACAAGTCTGAGGTGCTCAAGAAAAGGGTTTGAAAGTTTCTAAGAACAAACACAAGCCTTTTTGCTCAGAAACATTGCCTCCCCTCCATCACTCAGGGCCTCTTAAGAAAGGCAGCAACTTTCATTTAGGACTTTGCCACTAGGAAAATGAAACAGTAGAACTCCAGCTCCCCTGGGAGAGAGAAAGGTGCCCCCAACTCTGGTTCCCTGAAATCCTGAGAATTTCATTTATATTTTCTATCACTGCTTTTTAAAGAGGTCAGAGGGCAAGGTGAGAATTCTCAATCTTAAGCTATTCATTTTTACTATACATACAAATCCCATTTTAAAACTATCCAAAACATTATCTAAAATATTTATATATATACATACACCACATGCACTCAGTAAACCTTGAAGTGCCTTCCTTAAAACAAGTAAGATCTCCTGGTGGGCAGGGTTCTTTTTTTTTAAGAAATGAAATCAAACCTAATCCTTATGTTTGCAAGATGTATCAAAGTTCGGAGAAAGACCACAACACTTGTCACTTCCAGGCATACCAACATGATGAAGGGAAGCGGGCAGCCCTAGGGGCCCAGGACACCAACGAGAAGGGCCTGTGTGTGGCTAACCCCGGGAGAGTGACCAGCTTTTCAAATGAGAAGCCCAGGTGTTTGCTTCTGCAAAATCAGACTCCTTTGTGAGAATGTTGGCTGAAGAGTGGCCCTTGGTAAACAGAACTGGAGTTGTCTGCATATTTCTGGAAATTCAGATAGATGCCAACAGAGAACTTAAAATGGCTTAGTTCAGACAGTGATGGGAAAGGGCATCAGAATCCGAGGCTGGCTTCTCAGGGCTAACTTCCCTAATTGTGCTCCTCATTCTTGAGGTTGGGAGTCAGTGTGTCCACACCTGCTCCAGGTCCCAGCTGCAGGGAGCTAGTGCCTGGGGGCTATGCACACCCACCGCCCCCTCAAGTCCACCCAAAGGGGAGGGTGGGGCACTCACCTGAGAGCGCCAGGGCTTCAGCAGACCTTATGCTTGGCTCTATGGGGATCCCGGGGGCCTGGGACTCAGGCGGGGCACAAGCATAAAAGGTTCCTGTCACCTGGCAACCTGTGTTTGCAAATAAAAGTCAGATGCTGTCTACATAGAGTGTCTGATGCATCCAGAGGCTGTCTCCCCAGCGGGGCCGCTCAGCCCCAGGGGCAGGAAGGGCCTTGGGCATTCTCAAGGGGCAAAGACAAGCTGAGGTGTGATTGGAAACGCCAAGCTTGAAGGAGGAAGGAGCTTTTTCACAGCTTTGGAAGGAAACTCGGAGCTCTCCCTCTGGAATTTCCTTCCCTCCCTCCTTCCTTCCCTCCTTCCTTGCTTCCCTCCCTCCCTCCCTCCCTCTTTTCTTCCCTTCAGCACCCATCACCTCACATTGCAGCTGTGTGTATGCCCTGAGAACATTGAGACCTACTCTGTAAGCAACTTCCAATACCACAGAGGACTGTTAACTCAGTCAGTAATGTTAGATCCCCAGAACTTGTTCATCTTGTAACTGGAACTTTGTACCCTTTACCTGACACCCCTCCATAATTGTTCAGCAGAGTAACTGAGGCTCAGAGAGGTGAAGTGACTGACCCTTTTCACACAGCAGGTTTACAATAGAGCTGTGAGCTCAAGTCTGCATGAGTTCTGATGCCAAAGAGCCCAATCAAAAACTTAACAATTGTTTAGCCCATGTTTGTTTAGCTTTCTACTTCAGGGTTCAGGAGAAAACTGAACCATGTCTTCAGGCAGTGCAGTAGCTGTGTGTCCCATTCAACACGGATAGAGAGGAATATGTAACAGAATCCAATTTTGCTGGCACATAATTTAAATGCCACCTGTGCCTCAAAATATGCCTACCTGTTCCACCTTTTTGCACAGGTCAAGGCAGTGCCTCCTCTTTGAGGTTGTGGGTTCAGTAGCGCCCCATGCCCTGGACACAGGTCTGAATTTCAGAGACCAGTTGAATGTTAGCTTACCCTCCATGATACATCAAATGAGCCTTTGCTGCCTATCACTCCTGAAATGCTAATAAAACTGAATTGAACTTTTTTGTAAACACGCCACACAATATAAATCTTAGACAGTGGTATCCTTCTCCAATACCATGACCCTAGAGTGCCCTGGACATGGCTGGAAAAGGGAAGCTGACCAAATTGTCGGGGAGCAAAGACCCCAGAACACACAAAAAGGTTCTGGGTGCTGCCCCATCTCAGGGTTCCTATTTAACTAACTAACTCAAAAGTCTTAAAAGCTTGTGTTTTGCTGTATTACCATGTGAAATTTTCTCTGCACTTAGCTAACTGCTTCTGCTGAGAGATCTCGTCGTGATGTCTGGGGACCTCCTGTAGGCATGGGATCACATCCAATCTAGAGCGAGCAAGGCTCTGTGACCCGACACCAGCATTAGGCACCCCGTGCAGACTGTTCATGGTTCTTTACATAGTGGTCATTCATTCCCTTCTTATCACTTCTAATCCCAAGAACAGCCACTACGGGCATACCACTGTTTAAGAGGAATACACTAGCTCAGTAATCTCCTAGTGTCCCTAGGGAGGGAGGGCTTGGGCACGGCTGTACCCATTTTATAGATGTGTGGACAGAAACTGACCAGTGAGACTATGTGGCCCTCAGTTAACATTAAGGGTCAATCCAGGAAAGAAGACTGTCAAAATCTACCACTTTTCGCCCAAGATTAATTAAAGGTTTACATTATTCAGGGATGATAAGAAACACTGACCTATTAAATAGATAATTATATAAGTACATCCAGCCAGTTTGGTATCTAACACCCCCTATCTTAAGTGCAAGGCTGGGCTTTAGGGTTAGATCTGAAATTGAATTCCAGCCCATAATTTTCACTAGGTAACTCTGGACACATCCTTACATTCTGTGAGCTTGCCTCTACAAAAATGGGGCAGTTTAGCTCATTGCCTGGAATGATCTCTGTGATGCTTAAACAGAATCCCCTGTAAGGCAGTTCCAAGCATAGGCCCTGGCACAGGAGACCACATGTCAGGAAATGTGGTGTCCTTCCTCTGAGGACCTTACCATCCTACAGGAAGAGAAATGTCTCTCCCAGCAGCTCTGAGAAGGGAAGGAGCTGTGCTATTGTCAATAATCAAGAAGGACCAAGTCAGGAGAAACCAGGCCCTTTGGCCAGGTTGCTCTGCTGGGCCAGCAGCAGCCACAGGAGCCAACCCAGCACACTCCTTACCGTTTTCACAGGTTGGGCCTTGCCAGTGGTGGCTGCGAGGTCCAAAGGCCACAGGACACTGATACGGGATTTCGGGGTGTGACTGATCAGGCACATAGTCCCGCCAACTTCGGTCATGGGGTGGCATCATGTAGTTATGAACCTGCTAAAGGCACATGAGGCGCTGAGCTGAAAAGCAGCCAGCTCAGCAAAGAACAATTGGTTTGCGCTGGGAAAGGGAGCAGATTCTCTATATCCTCCCAAATTCCTCTGGGAATCTCCTGTTTGGCTGGCAGCCAAATCACCTTATCATCTGAAAAGGCTTTGGAGTGAATGGCTCATCACACTTGGGGGAAACTAGCCATAAAGAATCAAAATGCACAATGGAGACAGTATTATAAAGTAATGATTCATGTAAAGCTTCATCATATGGTTACAGTGGCACCAAAAGTCCTACAAGGAAATGTGCCTTCTTTTACCCACTGAAGTGAATCAAACAGAGCTGTGACTCACACCAGAAAAGTCTGAAGAGCCAGCGGCCCTGCAGTTCCCAAGATGAAGCCCAACATCCAAAATCTCCGACCTCCACAGACAGTCTGTCTCCCAGAAGATTTGAGGGTCAGTAGTAAAAATCCATACCAACAGGTGGACACACCTACCTCTCCCGTACTTAAAACCAACACTGATAGCAGTACAGCTGCAAAGTGACCAGGGCTTTGGTTTGGCTGTCTAACTAAGAGCCAAGACAAGTTTCTGCTGTTTTTGTTTGTGTATTTTTCCTGCCGTGTGGACTAGCCAGCTCAAGAGGCCCCACATAGACCCAGCCCCCGCTCCTGGAAGCCCTGCAGCCTCTACCATACCTGAGCTGGCAGGGAGGCATAAGGTGCTGTCATGGTGTAGGGGTGGTTCATGGTCATCTGTGGGTCTTCCAGGGTGAGCTGCTTTGCTCCTACGTGTTTGGGCAAAAGGGAAATGGCACAGGATGAAAAAAGGAACTGACAGAAGTAAACACCAAATCTTAGAAAAATACCAGAGGGCTTAATTCCTAGAATGCATAATACAATATTGACAAATAAGGCATTTTTTAGCAAGTCCCCTGGGCAATTGTTTGTTCAGGCCATTAAGCTGATTTCTGTGAAGTTCAACACATGTAAGACAGATGGAAAAGTAAATGGAATGCTGTGTGTGAATTCATCTTGTGACATAAAGTGTCACCTGTATGGCTGGTCTAAAATATAGATTCTTGGGCTCTACTCTGACATACTAGTGGGAATCTTGGAAAGAGGGAATCTGAATTTCAGTAAGCTTCCCAACTGACCACATTACATTCTTTAGAGCTGACACTACTATTATTATAAATAGTAACAATATGCATGTATGCTTCCTGTCTACAAGTGGTTAATTATGAAAGACTGACAGATAACTAAAGTTTCAAGTAACTTCTGAATTTTTTGGTTTGGAATTTGGCCTCTATCTTAATAGAACTAACTGAAAAACACACATGTGCCCACTGATGCACATACATGCATATGCATACACACACAGGGAGAGACTTGGAGTCTGAGAAATTGTCCTACACGAATACCACAAGAATTTCAATATAAGACCCAGAACTGGGCCTGAACATGTGGCAGGAGGAAGGCAGATTATAAAAAATCCAAAATAAAAAAGTGACACTCAGAGTGGAATTCAGGCATTACAAGTGTCAGGCTGCCTATATTCTGTGATCCCAACCCAGGAAATCCCACCTTTTTTGGCCCCCTCAGGAACAATCCTGTAGACTTTGTAGGGGTCTGAGATGTCTAGCTGGCTCCTCTCAACCAGTTCCTCAAAGTCATTGCTCTTGTTCAAAGCACACCGCAAACGTGTCTTCCAGGTAGGAGGGTCTGGCTTATCAATGCCTTCTCGGAACTTTCCTTTAAATAGTGCCCAAGCCTGGTGGGAAAGACAGTTAAAACACAGGTCTTTCAAAAAAAAGAATCTGGGAATTGTATTTCTAAAGGAAAGAATGGTGCTTAGGTATTTCAGATTTACATTGTTTCTCAAAATGGGGGACGAGGCACCAGATGTTTTTCAGGTAAAATACTTTCCACCTGGGACTCTCTCTCGCTGAGTTGAAGACAGGTGGTTTGAACCTTCTCTAGGTATTTGTACAAGCAGGTTGAGATGTGGAGGACCCCTGGAAAGGGCACTTTTCAGTGTCTGAAGGGAGCTTGATAAGGACTAGGGACAGAGCTATGGGATGGGCTGCTACCCAGTGGGTTCATCTGGATGGTCAGACGTCTGAGGTACTCTGAGAGCAAGTTCCCCGAGGAAGTCCCCTTTCGCCCGCTCTGCCCACATGGGGCGCGACTAGGCCCTAATGCACAGCTCACTGGCAAACTGCTCCGGGGAAAAACACCCGTGACCGTACACAGAAGGGGGGACAGAAAGATTCGGAGAAAGGCCCAAACAGAGAGATCCTGAGAGGGAGAGAGAGGATGAGGCAGAGAAAGAGAGCCCAAGGGGTGTGTGTGTGTGTGTGTGTGTGTGTGTGTGTGTGTGTGTGGTGTGTGTGGCATCGGGGAGGAGGGTATCCAAAGAAAAGTTTCCAGAAGGCTTGAAAAGAGGGAGTTACACAAACCGCGAGACAGGGAGGGAGGACCACAGGGGAGGAGACCCAAGGAGAGGCCGAGCCAGAGCACACGGGGGGGGGGGCGGGGAGCCAGAGAACCGGGTCCCGAAAGAGACCCCCCTCCCCGGCGAGACAGAGAGGCAGGGACAGACACCGTGAGAGCGCCGGAAACACCCTGAGCAGCCTCGTTCGTGCACCCTACGGGAGCTCACAGAGACGGGAGACAGGCATCCGTCAAAGGAGACGAGGATGGACCCAGGGGTACCGAAGGAGGCTCGAATGGAAACAGGGGGCCCACGCGAGTGCAGCCAGGAGCGCCCCAGCCTGAAGCCCGCGGGCATTTCCCCGCTGCGCTCCCTCTGGCTCCCGGGACCGCTCACGCCCCGCGCCCTGGACCGGGGCCCCGGCCTCCCGCCTGTGAAATCACCGGACAGCCTGAAACCTCCGGCCCCGTCGCCCCGATGCTCGCGGCGCCGCCCCGCTGGGTCTTCCCCCGCGTGCGTCCCCCTGAGAACTTCCGGCGCGGGTGGGCCCCGCACGCCGGCCAGGGGCTCCCAGCGCGCCCTGACCTTGAAGAGCGCGGCGTCCTCTTCTCGGTTGTAGTCCTGCTTGCCCGCGTGCTTCCAGGGGATGCGGAACACACTCTTGTCCTCGTTCTCCCACACCAGCCCCGGGTACTTGCCGCTGTCGATCTGGTCGATCAGCCACTGGCGGAGTTTCCCGTTGCCGCAGCTCACCGCGCTCATGCCGAACTCGCCGCCTCGGCTGCCGCCCTCCAGGTTCATGCCCGGCGCGCCGACCGTCACCCTCTCGCGCCTCCTGCACCCGCTCTGCGCTGCCGGGAGAGCACGGCAGCCCCTCAGCCCCCGGCGCGGTCCCCGAGCCCTAGAGCGACGACCGCGAGGCCCGGAGTGTCCGAGGCAGCGAGGCACGCGCAGGAGTCGGCCAAGGTTCCCGAGATCAAGCGCCCTCTCAGCTGCCACGGGCTCGTCCCCTGGGCGCGCGCGGTCCTGCCGCCTCCCGGGCGGCCCTCCGCGGATCCCAGGCTCCCTGCGCATCTTCCGACTCTGCATTCCCGTTCCGCACCCCCTCAGCCTCCCTCCTGGGCGCGCACAGCCAAATCCAGCCTCCTGCCCCGCTGGCGTCCCTTTGCACACTGCGCGCAGCTGCTGCTGCTCTCTGCCCATTCTCAAGCCCTTGCGGGCCAATTTCCCCCTTCTCTGTCACTTTCCACTCTTGCCCACTCCCCAGTTCACACTCCTTTGGTGGCCCTCTCGCGCCAGGGGTCTCGCGCAAGCGGGCTCGCCTGCAGTAGGGGCGGTCCAGGCGGGCGCCCTCAGGAACTCCTCCCCGGCCCTGCGCTACAAGAACACCCCTGGGTCCCCGCCAGGCAACAAGGATTAAGGGGGCCCCAGGAGGGCAGCCAAACAGCGGGAGATGCTGGAGCGCGGGCGGGGCCCGGCGAGGGAGCTTAAGGCGCGAGCGTGCCGGGGGGCGAGGGTCGCGGAGCGCAGCGGTTGACGTAGAGCAGCGCAGGGCCCCCAGCGGCCCAAATCTGGAGCTTCTCCTCCTCTGCCACCAGCCGGGGAGCTACGCGCCGGCGGCCGCGGTGAGTTTGGGCCCCTTAAGAACGAGGGGCAGGAGGAGCCTCTGGAGTAAGGGGCAGTTCGCGCCGGGAAGCCTGCTGCCCTTGCGAATCTCTTGGACAACCCCGTGACAGCCACTCCTGGGACCCTGTCAGCCTCGGTATCCCACCGGGTCCGGCGCGTGGCCCCCCCACCGCCCGGGTTGGGCTGGCTCGGGATGCTCAGGCACCTGGGCGGCCCTCCAGCGAGCCCGCGCTAAGGCCGGGCCAGAGCAGATGGGGTGGGAGTCGGGGCTCCCCGAAGGGGCTGCTCCCTCCCTTCCCACTGGCTCCGAGGCTGGGGTTCCCCGCGCGGCCCTGAAGATGGGCCCCGGGACCTCCGCTCTTGCTCCTGGTTCCCCGTGCAGCTGACCTCCCATCGTGCTCCTGCAGACCCCAGGCCTTACCTCGCCCCAGACTCGGGCTGAGAGCAGCGGTGGGTCCCAAGCTCAAGTGGTGAAACTGAGACTCCGAGGAGGGAAAGAGGAACTTTATAGAGCTTAAAAGCCGCGCTGGGGGCGGGGCCGGGGCTGGGAGGGGAGGGGCCAGGGCTGGGAGGGGAGGGGCCGGGCGGAACAGCGGCGCCGGCGGGCTGGGGGAGGCGAGCGCGCAGCGCTTGCCGGCTGGGAAGAGCTGCCGGGCTGCGAGAGTGCATCAGGGGGCCGCCCCGCCGACCTGCGGCCGGCGTCCTGGGCGGGCCACGCCGCCCCGCTCCGCGCGGGCAAGCGACCCTCAAGCAGGGCGCGCGGCTTCGGGCACCCTCACTTGGGGCGATTTCCCGCGAAGTGCAAGGCGCGAAATGGGGACCTTGCCTTCGCCTCAGGACCCGCGGGAGGCTCGTCGATCACCAGTAACACCTAAACGACAGCGATGTGGTTAGCGCGGGAAGTGGGGGGGCGTGCAGGAGCGGGAATCCGGTGCGAAGGGGACTTCGTTTGCAGAGCACGTTACCCAAGACTGAGGAACTGTCCACTTCGAAGAACTGTGGGTGGGTGGGGGCATCCTTGGCACCGTCGTCGTCACCAAGAACCCTGCCCCCCGCGGTGTTTGCAGAACATCATACTCATTTAAAAGAAAAAGAAAAAAAAGAGAGAGAGAGAGAAAGAAGGAAAGAAAGAGTGGGCCCAGGTGCCCTGAGCTATAAATTGTGGTTCCATAGTGTCTGCATGTTTGAAATCTCACATGCTTTTGCATCTATTACACGGTGAACTGAGGTGACTCAGACAGACACTGCATAGCCCCCAAAGTTTGAATTACGGCAACGTGAAAGAGTAGGGGAAGAGATTCCGGAGTGTCCAAATGCGCCAACTGCTTCTGGACTTAGATTCATCTTAAAATAACATCGTTTTAACCTCAAACTGGTAGAAAGCAATTTACTGGTGGAGTATAAATATCCAGAATAGGAACAGTATTTAAGCAAACCAGAGATTTTACTTAATTTTCTGAGATGGTCTTAATATTAAACTTCATCCCTTAGCATCTGCACACTGAACTTTCACCAGAGCATCTTGGATGCCCAGAGCTTTTTTATGTCCTCAGCAATTCCAGGTAAACCATCAGATCACTGGTTTCTATATGATTTTGGACCACCACCACCCCAGGTCAATGTGCAACTTCTGACAAGCTTTTGATTTCCCTTATTTCTCAGTTTTTCTTTTAATCTTATATATCGGGTCAATGTCTCCTGCCCAAAGAAGAAAGAAAGTGTAGGCTAGAGCAAAACAAGCCACAGGGCACAGATTAGGTACGGCTTGCTTTCCTAAAACTAACGGACTTTCTCAGAAAGCAACAGGATGCCATGTTTTTATTCACCCAAGTAAGTTTTCCATTATCAGAGTCTTTGTAATAAACAACAGGGTTTTGTTCAAAGAAAATTCTGGTTATAACCTGTATTTCTTCCTTTCTTCTCCTTTTACAGACTCATTCATTCAAGAAATATTTTTGAGCACCTACTACTTCTCAGGTACAGTTCTAGACACTTGGGATTCTTCAGTGAACAAAGCAGAGACTGCTGCCTTCATGTTGCATTACTTTTAATCAATGAATTACTTTTTCCCCAAAGTGTTCACAAACAACAGAACGAGATTGCTAAGAACAAAAACGGCAAAGCAGAACTTTTTGCACTTTCGTACACGTGTCCTCTGCACTGGGTTTAGTTAGTTTCAACATTTTCCTTGCTCATCTACTTTTAGAATTTCAAAACAACAGTCGTATGAAATCTGAGAGCTTTCAATGTCTACCTTGTTTTAAGATGTGATTGCTAATCTTCAACGCCATCTTCTGGTTTACTCACTTACCATATTGATCTACTAGAAATGATTTTTTTTTATGATGAGGTGAATACAGAGAATGAAATATTTTAATCACTAAAACTCTTGAAGTCCTCCTTACCCCTGGGAGGAAGAGGGAGGTGAAGGAGTGGACAGGTAGGTGCTGCCAGTTACTCACCGGGGACTTTCATATCTTAGTCATAGTTGAAACAAAAATGACAAAAGCTTTTAAAATTGACCCTCCCCATGCACACTTGAGAAAATCAAAGTGTTCCTCAGTAAAAGACTAGACAATTATCTTAAAATGTCACAACTTGTTAAAGAGGTGAAAACAAATAGAAAGTTAGTTAATTGACTGTCTATACAGAACAAGGCTGTGCATTCTATTCTGAGGCAAGGTCATTCACATCAGTGAATTGTCCTGAGGGTAGAGTACCATGGTACATGGAGCGCAAACTGAATGGAGTATTTCAATTTTAATTTACTTCTGTCATAAAGAGACTAAAAACTGAATTTACCTAAAGTCAGTATTTTTTAAAAATCAACTTTTTAAAATTATACATTCATGTGCAAGAAAAATATCTTAGAAAAACCCATAGTAGAAACAATAAATAAATGATTGAAAGCTTGTTTTGAATAAAACTATTTTCTCACTAATTCATTCTTTAAAACATGGAAGGACTACAATTTTTTTATAAACAGTGGAACTGTAAGAGTTTAAAGGGTGATCATTTTTATTTGAAAAAAATCAGGAAAATACTAAAAATGTTTTGTTTTTATGACATAGCTCATAAAAATCCTCTAATGCTCTTTGGCTATGTGTGTATGCAATGTTAATTATTACCATTGACCATGGCATCTTGTATGGCAGTGTTATACTGTTATTGTATTATTATATTATCATATAAATATCATACTATAAAAATACTATATACTAACATAGTAATATACTGTACTATACATACAATATACTGTACTATAGTAACATGGTAATATACTATAGTATATGCTATGCTGTATAATATTCTGTAGTAATATAGTGCTAGTGTAGTATAGTGTTGGTATAGTATGGTGATACGTGCTATATGTAATATTATAGTATTATTATTCTATGGTGTTCTTGGTAATTAAATGCTCAGGTATGAGGATAAGCTAGATCTGGTTCAGATCAGAGTGAAGTACCCATTACTATGCAGGTAATGGCTTTCTTGGCTCCTAATGTGCTATGATAATGAAATGATGATCAGTACAACGCTGGCACATCCCAAGTGCCCAACAAACCAGGACAACTATCGTTTATGTTGTGCTTCAACTTTTAGGGAAGTTTCATAGACTTCATCTCATTTGACCTCCCGGGCAAATCTTCCTGGTGGACAAGGTAGGCACTATTCAGGCCCACCGTACAGATAAGGAAAGAGGTTTCAAAGAGGCCCACTGTGGTCCAAAGGGCTTGCCCAAGAGCACATTCTAACCAACTGTTCCCAGAGCACAGGCTATTCAGGCCTCTTTTAGGCCACAGAACATGGCTTTTCTTTAGGGTCAGAGTATAACCCACTTTCAGGCATATGGGGAATTGGACTTGTTAGGTTTTAAGCAATTATGTAATAAAAAGTTACAAAGGCAAACACACAAAGACAACACTATCTCCTTTCCCTTGCTTATAAACAACTGTTCCCTTTCTGTGCCCTCTTCCTGCCAGCACTCTAGGAAGTGTCTGTGTGACATTTCCTTTCTCTCTGACTTGTTATGCTCCGTACAGAAGCAGTGACATGGCTTGTAACAAGGGACCACTTGATACTGCCGACTCCCTTAACCAAGCCAACAAAAATGCAAATGGTTTGCAAGAATTTGGGGCATTTCCTGAAAACTGAAGCAATAGGTGAAAAGCAAATAGCTCTATCTAATTCCACTGATTTGTGGAATGCTGGGTTATTCTACAGCATCAGTTGTCATTTGAACTGAACATTGTGAAACTACATTGTCACTTTTCTCATATGAAGTACTACTTCCAAGACTTTGGGAGTCTATCTTCAGGTGTGTCTTCAGGAAAGTTTAGCTTATGCTCCAGTAACAAGTCACCCAAATCTCAGGGCTTAAAACCACACAGGGCTACTGCTTGTTCACATGAGTTACTCACTGCTGGCCATCACCACTCTGAGAATCAAGGTCAACAGAACGGCATCTAGAACATTCCTGGTCACTTGGCATAGAGAAAGATATAGAAAGAACCAAGTGGTGTCTCTTTAAGCTTCACATCACTCTGACTCACGTTTCCCTGTTATAAGGCAAGAACCAAACTGGAGGAAGAATTTCCTGGAGGTACCATGGCTAAGATAGGAGATGGGAGAAAGGCCAGGAGTCTAAAAGGTCTCAGTGCGGAGGCAAGGAGCTGGGGGCGGCATCCGCGGAGGGATGGAAGAGTATGGGAGGGGCTGTGTGAGTAAGGCACGATGAGGGGGGAGGAGTCAAGGATGACTGGAGAGTTTCTAGGCTCAGGGGGGGGGGGGGTAAGGTGTGACCAAGAGGCTAAGCAGAGAAGTCCGCAGGAGGCAGGGTTATGGGGGATTAGCCGGGGGACATCTGGGATAAAAACCCAAGATGTAGGTTGAGCTAGGTGAGTGCAGTGGTTCCTCCAGGCACTGTCCCTTTGTCCCCTCTGGAAACACAGAATTGTCTCTTGATCATCTTTGAGCCATAGCATCAAACAGTGCTGAATGCCTCGTGGCAATGAGCTCTACAAATGAATGTGTCTTGCCTCTGAGCAAGAATACAGAGGTCCCAGTCCTCCATTTGGCCTCCAACTGGGGGCCACAGCAGACCCCGAGATGGAGGTAATAAGCTTGTGGGACATTCATTAGGGAGGGCTCTTGAGCCAAATCCCTTTGGCGTCAGGTGGAGGAAGCTGAGATGCAGTGCCTGCCACGTGGTCTGTCAGGGCTGCAGAGAGCTCTGGAGCTGGGAAGAGCCTGCCCCACCTCGGGCCACGGGACAGGGCCCTTACCACATGGGTTCATCAGCCATCGGTGCAGGCTGCCTCTGAATAGAGGTGTGAGTGGGCAAGATGGTTTTCTCTAGTTGGTGCAACATCCAAAGGGGCCGCCTGCTGAGAACCATCTTGCAGGAACAGCGCAGAAGCCAGGGAGTGGACTTCCCACTCTCAGAGGGGCTGAGCAGAGCACGACAACATTCTCTGAAGTCT